GCTGTGTAGACTGCTTCCCATGTTGGACATTCTTTCCTTTTTAATTCTATCTACTATTATTACCAGGCACTTGATCCTATTTATATGATCTCTTTAACACTTAATCCTATCTATATGTTCATGATCACTTTAACAATTAAGAAGGCATTTTCATCACCAAGTTTATTGGGATTTGGAGTCCCATGACAAGTTTTAAACTGTACCCTTACAAGTCAGTACATAGGAATGTACCCAGAACTATACAGCTTTATAGTTACAGGTTCCTTTGTGGTCTGAGAAGATGCATGGTATGATTTGGGGAGCAGTGCCATTGATGTTAGAGTAGAAGCTATGATTACAAAGAAATGAGGCCCCAAGTGGGCTAGACAGGGTCTAGAACAAAGCATAGAGTCATTATTGGAGGACCTAAGAAAGGTGCTGTCCAAGTCACTAATAAGTTTTCCCATTAAGAGGAAAATATAAACTGACAGAGAGGCCTGATAATAATTTGGTGGGCTTTAAGGCCTTGTCAGTTATGAGGCCCAGACCTATCTATCTTTTCACATAGAGTACATTCTAAAGGAGGTGTGAACCTCCTTGGGAAGACTTCCTATTGACTTCCATTATCTAGCTGGCCTGAGAGGAGAGCTGGCCAGGTGAAGGCAGGTAGCATCTCTAACAGGAAGTTTACAGTTCTTCTGGCAGTGTTGCTGACCCTACTTGGCCCTCCCCTCAGCAGCGGTGATTACTTTGGAAGCTGGGATGAATAAAGGGCTTTTCAGCTTAGAGGCAAGAAGGCCTGTGACTCTGACCTGAAGTCCTTCAACTCCAGGGCAGTTCTGTTTCCAGTGACCCAACTCTTGGCTGGCAGAGCTGCCAGGGCTCTTCATAAGCTGACTTCTGCTGAAGGCCTGGCTTGCCATATAAACCAATGCAGTGGACTGGCCTGTTGGGTCTCCCTGATGGCAGATCACTGTGCAAAGCAGCCATTAATTGGCCTGCCATCTTATCTTTACATTGCTTCTGATGCCTAGCTTTCTTTACCTCCTGGTTTCTGTTAAAGAGACCAGAGGATTCAAGTAAAGGTGAATGCTCCAGTCCCACCTCTAATCTTTGGCCTAAACTGTAAGTCTACAGCCACAGGCATGTTCTGATAGTGTTTTGCCTTTTTTTTTTGTGAGGTAGACAATGCTCATGAGGAAAGATATGTCCTCACTTGTCCTCACTTTAAATGTTTCTCTCCCTTTGTTTGGTCTGAAAGGGAGGATTTGCCTGTTTGCTGTGCCCATGACGAAGTAAATCTAACCATGAAATCATAATTTAAGCTGTAATTTTGGCTATGCTATTATTACAGAAAATATTAGCCATCCCTTTTATAACATTCAAAAATCAAACTGTATATCTTGGAGAGTCCTTCAGTATAGAATCAGTTTCCCATCTTGAATAGAATAGAGAAATGAGGGAAAAAGGCTTCCTAGATCACTTATGGGCAATAACAGTATCAAATGAAAACTTAGTAAGAAATTTCAACCATTAAATAACAACTTATGAAACATTTACCAGAAGGTCAAATGCCTTCTATAAATTTTAAGAATACATGTATTTAGAAACATTTCTTAAATATCCAACATAGTGTAGCTTGTTTGACCAGCAAACTCAAGCACAAACATGTAAAAACATTTTTTAATTTATTTCTACCAACAAATTGCAATTTTTTTTGAATTTGCAGAGACTTGCTTTATGGCCTAGGATGTGGTCAATGCTATAGAAAGTTCCATACACTTCTGAGAAGAATGTGCATTCTGCAACTGTAGGATGAAAAGTTCTATAGATATCTGTTAGGTCCATTTGGTCTATAGTGTCTATTAAATCTGCTATTTCCTTTCTGTCTGATCTGTCTACTGCTGAAAGTGGAGTATTGAAGTCCCCCATTACTATTGCATTGGAGTCTAAGTTTCCCTTTGAATCCCTTAATATTCTTTTAAATAGCTAAGTGCCCTGTAATTAGGTGCATATATGTTTATAATAGTTATATCTTCCTGTTGAATTGATCCCTTAATAATTACATAGTGCTCTTCTTTATCTCTTTTAATAGATTTTGTGTTGAAGTCTATTTTATGTGATATTAGGAAGGCTATACCAGCTACTTTTTGGTTTCAGTTGGCATGGAATATGTTTTTCCATCCTTTTACTTTCAGTCTGTGTGCATCTTTGTTGGTGAGATGTGTTCCTTAGAAGCAGCAGAGAGATGGGTGTTCTTTTTTAATCAATTCATGCACTCCATGTCTTTTAACTAGAGACTTAAGGCCATTTACATTCAAGGTGACTATTGATAAGTAACAATTTGGCCCTGCCATTTTTCAAAAATACTCTTATTTTTCACTTTGAATTTCCTTTGAACTTTTACTGAGAGATTTTCTTCCTTTCTTTAATAGTGATGACCATGATTCTGTGTTTCTGTGTGTAACACATCCTTAAGCATCTTTTGTAGGGCTGGATGGGTAGTAACAAATTATTTCAATTTCTGTTTGTTGTGGAAGTTCTTTATTTCACCTTCATTCATAAATGAGAGCTTTGCCTGATATAATATTCTGGGTTGACAGTTTTTTTTTTCTCTTAAGAATTGGACTATATCTCGCCATTCTCTCCTCGCCTGTAGGGTTTCTGATGAGAAATCTGCTGTGAGTCTAATTGGAGATCCTTTGAAATACTTTGAGATACTTTGAAAGTAATCTTGCATTTCTCTTGTGTACATTTTAGAACCTTCTCTTTATGTTTTACTGTGGTGAGTTTGATTACAATGTGTCATGGTGAAGATCTCTTCTGGTCATGTCTATTAGGAGTTCTATGTGCTTTTGGTACTTGGATATGCCTTACTTTCTCCAAATTAGGGATGTTTTCTGTTATGACTTCACTAAAAAGGGTTTCTAATCCTTTCTCTCTTTCCATGCCTTCAGGAACTCTTAGAACCAGTGTATTTGGTTGTTTGGTCATATCCTGTAGATTCCCAACAGTATTTTCTGTTTTTCTAGTTTTCTCTTCTTGTCTTTGGTTTGATTGTATAATTTTCTGTTTTGTCTTCTAAGTCTGATATTCTTTCTTCTGCTTCACTGATTCTGTTGTTAAGGCTTTCCACTGCATTTTTTATTTACTCTATTGAATTCTGCATTTCATTTTGACTTCTCTTTAAGATCTCAATTTCATGGGAGAAATTTTCTTTCATGTCCTGTATGGATTTCAATAGTTTGTGTATTTGCTTCTGATTACTTCCATGTCATCTTATGATCAATTTTTTGAATCCCATTTCTGTATTCCATCTCATCATCTTCACAATCTAGTATTGAAATGTTTTGTTCTTTTGGGGGGGAAATCATGTTGTCTTCCTTGTTCTCATGTCTTGAATTGGTGCTTTTATTGCTCTGCATTTGTGAAGATATTTGTTGATTTCTTTTTTTTCTTTTTTCTTTTTCTTTTTTTTTTTTTTTTGCTGTGGTGGCTTTTATCTTTGTACTATGGCTTTGTAGATAAGTGGAATGTCTCTTTCAGTTAATATCTAGAGGCTTGTAGTGGTTGTTGCGAGGAAGCTCTGTTCCGTTCTCCAGGTTAAGGGCATCCCAAAGGTGACACACCCAGGACCCAGATTTGGCATGGTAAATCTTTTTTTTTTTTTTTTAATCAGAAGGGAAATTTATTCTGCTCAGCTGAGCTCCTCTCCTCCAAGGAGACCAGTGCCTGAGCTCTAGCCCCAGTGGGTATAGTATTCATCCACTCTGTCCCAAAGACCACACCAAGAATCTGTACAGTCCTCAGTGCAAGTTCAGATTCCCCAGCAGTGTCTCTCACCAGGTAACCAGGAAGCCCTGAGCATGTGGAGTCTCCCACTGTGACTGCCCAAAGTCCCAGCCACACTGTGCGTCCTCCCACACAGCCTCAGTTTTTTTCACAGTCCTGACACCAAATCCTCCCACAGTCACAAGCTCCCAGCCCCCTGTTAGTTCTCCCCACCAGAGTGGGAGTCTCCACTTGGCTGCTTGCTGGGCACAGACACAAGCTGGTGCAGCTGTTACATATAACCATATGGTGCCTGCTCTATCAGCTTGTTACAGGATGCCTGTGTAATGTGATCAGAGAGAGAGAAATGTGTTTGTCCTCCTTTTTTTTTTTTTTTTTTTTTCCTCCTCTAGTTTGGCAGGTACACTATTCCCCAGAGAGCTCTAAGCCAGGTTCCCTTTAGGCTCTTCCTGCAGCTTTATCACCAGTGATTGGGCTGCTTTGGTCTGGTCTCACCTCACTTTCCAACGCTGGTGCATAGGCTCTTGGCTGGTGGTGTCCCAAGTTTGGGCGTCCACACCCTACACTAGGTCCACTGTGTACCTCTAATTTTGGTAGTTTCCTCTGCCATTTTCTCCCTAACTCTTCCCTGAGACTACACTCTCGCCACTTTTTAAAAATTATCTTCTGGACTAGAGCAGTAAGTTCTCTCCCTGCTCAGTCATCGTGAACCCCTAAAATTTTTATTTATATACTTTTATCTTTTTTATTTCATCTGCCTTATTCACTCCTCAGGTGCCCTCAACAGCTGGGCCTAGGCCGGGTCAAAGCCAGGAGCCTGGAATTTAATTGAGGTCTTCTACAGGGCAGTAAGGACCCAAGTACTTGATCCATCATCTGCTGTCTCCCAGGGTGTGCATTAGCAGGGGCTGGATTGAAAGCAGAGCTGCATCTCAAACCAGGCATTCCAATAAGAGCTTTCCAGGCAGCATCTTAACTGCTGTGTCAAACATCTCCCCCAGAGTAGATCTTATTATCTTTGTCCCCAGCAGTTAAGAGAATCTTAACTGAGGCTCTGAAAGATGAAGCGGGTTGTGTGGGAATCACAGGTAGCAGGATGATGATCTGGCTGTTGCTCATTTTATCTGCCTTATCCTGTTCCCACCTCCCTTGCCACAGATGTCTGTGAATGTACTCCTACAGGAAGTAGACAAGATGACCTTTAGGGAGGTTCTGGGTTTTCCTTCCAGGTGGCTACGTGGAGGCTGTGGAGGGGGCTAAGGAAATCCCAGAGCCAGGGGCCTTTCCGCCAAGTCCCATTTTGGAGGACATGTATGATGATGTCGAGTGTCCCAGAAGAGAACGGTAAGCACAGTCACATACTGCAGCAAGGTGAGTGTGGCAATGCTTTCAAGGTCCACCACGTTAATAATGGTCTGTGCATCTTCTCCCCCACAGACCAAAGTCGGACTTCTCTAACTCCTTCAGTTCAGAGAGTGGTAAGCACATGAACACATGTCTGAGAATGCCAGCAGGAAATGCCCAGGGCGTGTGTGGCTGAGGAGGGTTGTCATTTACTTTGCCGTATGTTCAATGCGGGAATGTATGGGTGGGGTAATGGTGAGCTAAGGGGAGTGCTCCCAAGATTTGTGCAAGCAAAGACACTTAGGATCTGGAAGGTGAAGATGCTGGCAAGGGCATTCTTGTGGCAAGACGCAACTTCCTGTGAGAGTGCTTCCTTGCTGATCTCTTCACAATGCAGGGCTGATTGCAGGAATATTCTTACTTAAGCTGCTTGATGTTGGGTGGGTGTTTGGCACCACAGTTACGATAACACTTGGAAAGCCTGCATCCCATCTGAGAGTGCCTGGGTCATGGTTTTTTTTTTTTTTTTTAACAGGCAGAGTGGACAGTGAGAGAGAGAGACAGAGAGAAAGGTCTTCCTTTTGCCATTGGTTCACCCTCCAATGGCCACCGCGGCCGGCACACCATGCTGATCCAATGGCAGGAGCCAGGTACTTATCCTGGTCTCCCATGGGGTGCAGGGCCCAAGTACTTGAGCCATCCTCCACTGCACTCCTGGGCCACAGCAGAGAGCTGGCCTGGAAGAGGGGCAACTGGGACAGAATCCGGCGCCCCGACCGGGACTAGAACCCAGTGTGCCGCACCGCAAGATGGAGGATTAGCCTAGTGAGCCACGGCGCCGGCCCAGTGCCTGGGTTCTAGTCCCAGCTCCGCTTCATATCCAGCTTCTTACCAGTGCATAACCTGGGAAGCAGCAGGTAGTCTCTGCCACCCATGTGGGAGATCTGGATTGGGTTCTGGGTTCCTGACTTCAGCTAGGCCCAAGAATTTGAGGAGTGAACCACTGGATGGGAGATCTCTCTGTGCCTATCTCTCTGTGTGCCTCTTTGTCTCTTGGTGTATCTGCCTTTAAAATAACAACAAAAAAAATTAAACAAATGCTTATATTAAAATGCTTGACCTTACCATGCCTCTCTGGCCTTGTCTCACGTTTACCTTCGATCTTCATCTGAGAGCCAGTAGTGCTGACGTTCTTTTAGCTCCTGTGATGTACCAGGTCTCAGTGCAGGTGTTTCTATGTGCTACTCCTGACTCCTGGAATGTTCTTTCCTCCCCTGGGTCGCTTGCCTAAGTGCCTCTTAATATTTTTCCTGACCTCAGCTCAATGATTATTCTACCAGGAAATATAACCTCATGGCACCGTGGACTTCTATTGCATAGTGCTTGGCACAGTTGTGGTTTGATGTTTATGTGATTTTTCTCTGATGAACAACAGTATTCCATACTAGAATGCTAACTGCTGCATGCTTACATCGTTCTTCAACCCCTAGCACAGTATCAGGCTCATGTGAGATATTTAAAATATCTATTGACTGCCTGAATAGGAGTAATGAGGAGATGTTGGTCAAAAGATACAAAATTTTAGTTACACAAGAGGAGTAAATTCAGGGGATCTATCATACAACGTGGTGATTATAAATATGGGCAATGGATTGTACACATGAAAATTGCTGAGACAGTAGACTTTTTTAGAAAAAAATTTCCTGATTATTTTATCAGCTTTTTAAAAAATTATTTGAAAGATACAGAAAGGGGGAGGGGGAGGGAGGGAGGGAGGAGAAGAGAGTGTCAGAGAGGAAAGAGATACACCTTCTATCTGCTAGTTTACTCACCAAATGTCTCAATAGCCAGAGGTGGGCCAGGATGTAGCCAGGGGCCAATATCTTAATCTGGGTCTCTCATGTGGTAGGTAGGATCCAACCACTTGAGCCACCACCTGATGCTTTCCAGGGTGTGTTTTGCAAGAAGCTGGAATTGGAAATGGAGTCAGAATTTGAACTGAAGTACTCTGATCTGGGGTGTGGGCATCCCAAGCAACATTTTAACCACCATGCCACAAAGGCCCACACCAATCTTAAATGTTCTCACCACAAAAAGAGTTCTGGGGGGCCAGCACTGTGGCATAGTGTGAAGTCATCCCCTGTGGGGCCAGTATCCCATACAGACACTGATTTGAATCCTGGCTGCTCCACTTCTAATCCAGCTCCCTGCTAATGTGCCTGGGAAAGCAGCAGCAGATGACCCAAGTGCTTGGACACCTGTACCCATGTAGGAGACCCAGAAGAATCTTATGGCTTCAGATCAGCCCAGCTCTGGCCATTGTTGCCATGTAGGGGAATGAACCAGCAAATGGAAGATCTTTCTCTGCATCTCTCCTCCCTCCCTCCCTCCCTCCCTCTCTCTCTCTCTCTCTCCCCCTGTGTAACTCTGCCTTTCAAACAAATCTTTTTTTAAAAAAAAAAAAAAAAGAGTATTTGGGGTCCAATGCTATGGTGTGGTAAGTGGGGCGACTGCCTGTGGTGCCAGCATCCCATGTGGGTGATGTTTCATGTCCTGGCTGCTCCACTTCCGATCCAGCTCTCTGCTGTGGCCTGGGAAAGAAGTGGAGGATGACCCAAGTCCTTGGGCCCCTGCACCCACGTGGGAGACCTGGAGGAAGCTCTTGGCTCCTGGCTCCTGGCTTTGGAGCCCAGCTCCAGAAGTTGTGGCCATTTGGGACAGTGAAGCAAAGGATGGAAGATCTCTCTCTCTCTCTGCCTCTCTGTAACTCTGTCTTTCAAATGAATGGGTAAATCTTTAAAAACAAAGAATATTTGGGGTAATATATGCTAATTAGTTTGATTTACTCATCCCACATTGTACATAATTATCAAAACATGCTATACATAATAAACATATATATCATTTTTATTAAGATATATATCATTTTTATTAATAAGATAAATATATTTTAAAAGAAAAGATAACTGAGAAAGAATATCAAATATTACTCAAATTGGCTTTATCCTTCTTAGAATCCCAGAATTTTAGATAGAGAAAAATCTTGGAAATAATCCAAAAATCAAATTCTGTGCCTCAGTTTTCTTTTAAAAATTAAAGTGCGTCCTTTAATCTCATCATGGTTTGAGCCTCAAAGCCTGGCCTTTAGTCCAGTGTTCTTTCCATTAGACTCTGACTCCAGGGTAGAATCAAAGTTTATAACTATGTATATTAAGCTCATGTGTTGGGCTAGACAAAGCCATGCTGTGATGGGAGGGATTATCTGAGATGTATCTGGTTTTGTGTTGTTTCTCCAGCATTAAGTATGAAGTCTGATGCCTCATAGACTCTGATTGTTATGTATTAAATATATGAAGGAGAGATGGTAGAAAGAAGGAATCTATTGATAAATCTCACATTAACTTTCTTTGACTAATGTAGCTCAGACTTGGAACTAGGCATTAGAAGTGAGTGTTAATTTTCAGTGTACATATCTGTAGGAAAGTTGAATTATTCTTATGATATACTTGTAAAAATATGTACATAAATTTCAATAAAAATTAATAGAATAAAAATCAAGATACTAGCACCTAGCAGGTAGTTTTTGTTAAATATTAATCTGATTTGTTGCCATTTAATGATTAAAATGATCTTTTATTTCAGAAGAAAATCATGAAGAAATGTATGAAGATATCTACAAAACAAAGAATAGCTACTCAATGATGGAGTGAGTTTCTTTCTTGGTTTTATAGACTTTGGATATTTTTTGTTAGTCTATAAAACCGTGGTTTAAGAAAGACCCTCATTCAGCATCCTTTAGGGAGGATTTACACAAGAATGGTGCTAGGCTACTGAAATTCCTTGTGATATGCAGGATACTTGTGCATATGCACAATCATATGCTGTAAATTTTAAATTAAAATTGCTTTCTCATGTGAGAAAATAACCATTTCCCAGAAGAGAGGACTTTGATGTTGTTTTAGGACAAATGAGGAAAAAAAGAAGTAAGTATCAATACAACTTGCTTGAATTCTGTAGCTGCTTTTCCAGGAACAAATCAGTGGTTATGACTTAGCTGTGTCTTTACAAGTTAGTTGGGCTGTCTCTGGGAATTGGGCTTTAATATCTAGTAATTCCCTCTTTAAAGGGTAATATCTGTTTTAATGTCAAGTATAGTTATTAAAATATGGCACAAAGAGGAAAGGAAAACAGCGAAAATCAAAAGCAAAATATTTAAGGGTTGAAAAGGAAAGAGGGAGTCTGAGCTGGGCACACTGGGTAGGATAATTGAGTACATCGCTCCCTTGCCCTTTCTCTAAAAGAGTATTTGGAAGAATGTTAATCATCATCTGGGAAGTCAATGTAATGACCATGGTTGTATTATTCCGTAAATTAAAATGCAGTGATGTGAATTTCATAAGCCAGGAATTTCTATAATGTATTTCTAATAGTTTGTAAGCTACACATCCCTAAATTATCTTCTCTTCTAAAAGACTTTGTTCCATCAACTGTGCAAAAGTAGAGACTAACCAGGGCAGATGGAAGTTTGTACTGGCAGATAATTACTGGCCTCGTAGTTGACGGCTGTGCACTACTTCATAGCAGAATCCAAAGGAAAACATAGCCATTAGCATTTTCTTACTCTTCCTTGAATGGAATGTGTTTCAGAAATGAGACCAAAGCCCCTCATCCTTTTTAATACAGCAGCTTCTCAGCTATATCATACTCTCAAATGCCATGTGACTCCTATTTTTTGATTCCTCTTAGTTTAGATGGAAAAGAAGCACTTAAAAGACTGCAGCGGTTCTTCCAGAAAGAAAAGGAAAGGTTTAAGATGAAGAAAGCCAAGCCAAAGGAAAACATAAGGTAAAACGTATCTTTTGCTCTCCCTTTCAAAAGAGGAAGGAACTCACTTTGCCAGCCTGGTAGATACACAGGTCAGGATTCTCTATCCAGCTCTCAGAAATAATGAGGAGGGTATCAGAAACCAAAACCCAAGACTTTGGCTATTGCCTGCCTCTTTCTTGAGAATTTTTGAATGAATCACATCCAAAGATACTAATGAGAAAGTGGCACATCCCTTTTGAAAACAAGATGATGAAGAAAAGGATGTAAATAAAGGTTTGAGAAGGAAAGTTTTGAGCCAAGTCCAGAACAGAGATTTTGTCTCCAGCCTTGCATCTTTGTGTATCCATTTTCATCACCAAGCATTGTTACTGATTATTTCCTTGAGTGCTTTCTCGGGCCTACTAGTTCCAATGATTCTGTTTGCCTTCACTTCTATATTAATTCATCTCCCATGAAAGTGATGTGTGGAGCGAGGAGGTGAGCTGCTCAGCTGAATGGTTCTTGTATCTGAAAGTCTTAGATTGGGAAAGAACCCTCCTCCCAGAGAACCTAGGCTAACTGCCAGTCAACTCTGCCAGCAGTGGAAAGACACAAGGGTCCTGGATTCTAGATTCTAGTTTCAGCTCTCACATTATTCGGTGTGCGACTGAGGGCAAATCACTTTGCACCCACAGGGTCCTAGTTTCTTCTGTATACAACAGAAGAGGACTGAAAAGTCTCTGGTGACGCTTCTGTGTTTAATATAAGGATATAGGTCAACATTTTGTGAGAGCAGGAGGTGGTAAAATAATTTTCCAAGACAATTACCTATATTGAGATGGAATTATGTTATTCTGCCCTGAAGTTATTTTCAATCACAAAGCTTCAGAATTTTAGGATTTTCAGTCCGACTCTCTGTTACATCTAGATCTACCAGGAGACCCCACAGAACTTGGGGTTTCTAGATTACAGTCCTGACTCTGGAAGAAGAGGTAGTCATTGTACCTTCTGTGGTCAGTGAGACCCTATGCACAAAGGCAGACGCTGGCCTTGGCAGGTTAAACGTTAGATAGAAATGCCAATAGAAAACAATTGGCATGATTACTTGTAGTCCCTGAGATACTCGAACCAGGTGAGAATACTGACATTTTAAAAATGCAAATCTATTTTCCTTTTTCTTAAAACTATTCAGTGACTTCTTATAAATTTCAGAACAAATATCCAATCTCACTCCATGGCAAGTAAATAATTTTATGTCTACTTCATTTCTATTTCTCCAGCTCAATCTCAAAATAAAGTTTGCGCTCACCATCACTGCAGTATACAAACCCGTAGATCTTGGCCTCGGCCGTGGTGTCTCATGCCTCTTGGCTTTCACCGTGACATTTCCTTGGTCTGCAAAGCATCTGCCCTCTTTCAGCTTTCTTTGGTTACCAACATTATAGTTTGCCCTCAAAATTTGATGAAATGCTAGCCCCTCCAGGAGGCCTTTCCTGAACCTCTGTACCCAAACCCAGATTACCTGTTTCTCTTTTATTCCCATGCACTTGCTGTCACATCTGTGCACATCTTGTGATGTGTGTTAATGTTACTGAAAAACCCTTCTTCTTAGAGACAGAGACTACCAGAGTAAAGGGAAATCCATGTAACCTAGTCTCCTCCACTACACAGCTGCTCTGCAAATTCCCCAGTGAGCCAAACCTTGGCTTGTCTATCTCCAGGACAGAGAAATTCAACACCTGCTCAGAAGGACCTTCCATCTTCAGGAAACTAAATTAAGATTTATTTTCCTTAAGTTTGCCCAAATCTATCTCTGTACCTAATTTTTCAATTCACAGCATATAAATAGAGCAAGATAACAGACTTCTTTTCATTCATTAATTATGCTTTTGCCCTGGAGCTGCTTCTGTTGAACACCAATCCTTGTTTACTGTTTCATCTTCAGAAGCAGGTTGCTGCCGTGAAAATGTGACATTGAAGGAGAGTCAAGGCCTTGATCCACTCTCACACACACACTCCAGGAACACTGCCTGCCTATTGGGATAATCACTATTAAACAGCCTGACTTAGGCATAGATAAACTAAGGATGAAACATGCTGGATTTAGCTATGCTATGAATTTTAGGTGGGAATTAGATGTGGTACCCCTCCCCACTCCCTCTAGTCCAGGTATACTGACTTCCTTGTTCTTTATACAGACCAAGCCAAATACAGCCTAAGAGTCTCTGCATTTGCTGTTTCTTTCCCAGGAACACTGTTACTAACTTAGATATTCATGTGACTCAGTCCCCAGTGAGCTTGAATTCTCTGCTCCAAAGTCACCTCATCAATAAACCCTCACCTCCATGACAGTTTGTATCATACATGAGGGTACTTTCAAAAGTTCATGAAAAATAGAATTTCATAATAACTATTTTAATGCAGAATTTTAAATCCCTGCATGCATAGTTCTTCCTTAATACGCATTTTCATAAAACTTGTATTGTTTGTTTATTGTCATCTACCTGAAAGGCAGAGTGACAGAGACAGGGAGATTGACGTTTCATCCAGGCTTACTCCCCACATGCCTGCAAAAGCCAGGTGGAACCGAGGAACCCAGAATACTTTCTGGGTCTCCCACATGGGTGGCAGGGGCCCAGGCACTTGGGCCATCATTTGCTGCCTCCCAGGGTTCATGAACAGGAAGCTGGACTAGAAAGAGTAGCCAGGACTCAAACCAGGCACTCCAGTATGGGATGAGGGTGTTGCAAGCAGTGGCTTAAATCACTGCCCATGATGCCTACCGCATAAAGAACTCCTAATGCATAGACTTAAAATTTTTTGCCAAAATCTTGTTTTTTTTTAACTCCATTTTCCAGGAATTTTTTTTATTGGACAGGTAGAGTTGTAGACAGGGAGAGAGAGAGAGAAAGGTCTTCCATTTGTTGGTTCACTCCCCAAATGGCCGCTACGGCTGGTGCTGTGCCGATCCAAAGCCAGGAGCCAGGTGTTTCTTCCGCATGGAAGAAGGTCTCCCATGTGGGTGCAGGGACCCAAGCACTTGGGCCATCCTCCACTGCCCTCCCTAGCCATAGCAGAGAGCTGGACTGGAAGAGGAGCAACCGGAACTAGAATCCAGCACCCATATGGGATGCCGGTGCTGCAGGCGGAGGATTATCCAAATGAGCTATGCCACCAGCCCCCATTCCAGGAATTTTTTGAAGTCCCTTTGTATTTCCTTAATATATAGCAGAAATCCCCTTGTTTTCTGTCTGCCTCACCCTACTGAAATCCATGAGAATAAGAGATTTGGACTGTTTTGTGTGCTGTTTTAACAGTGCTTGGGACATAATTGATACTCATTCAAAATTTGTTGAATGAATAATTGATCTATCACAAGCAAACATCATTTGAGAAATTGTTGTGGCTCCATTTTCATCCTTAAACTGGAGCTACCACCACCTTGTCCTAAAGAGAATGGAGAAAGGGAACTGGGGTTTAGAAAGCTTTCCCTGAGCCAGAGCCCCTGGAGCAGCCAGGGTTAAATGCTAACCAGGCATTGAGAGCAAGGAGTTCCCAGTACTTACACACAGTACTTACATGCACTGTCTAATCCTTTCTAATTCTGACTTAGAAACTGTTTTCTCCATTTCACAGGGGAGAAAAAGTTAGGCTTTGAAAATGTATTGACTTTCCCAAGGTCACATAGCAGGCAAGTGGCAGCACTGAGGGTCATTGTCAGCTGAGTTGAACGCAGTGACCTTGTGTTTCCTCTATGCCACGTGCCGTATCATGATGCTGGCAGCCTCCAGTCTGGCCCTACAGACAGCATCAACAGGGATTGTTAAGCAGAGTCTCTGTCCCTGGTCCTCTCACTGAGGCCTGCTCATTCAGTCCTCACAGTAAGACAGGCATTGATGTTCATTTTAGAAAGGAAACTGAGGCTCCGTAAACGTTCCCAGATCGCCTCTCAAGAGCTGTACCTCTGCACCTCCCTTTATTGTGTTCTTTTCACAGGCATGCATTAATTTTGATCTCCCTCACTAAGCCTCAGGCTGCTGCAGGGTAGAAACTGTAGGATCATTTTATAAACCCAGCACGCAGGCCTGTCCCATGGTGAGTGCTTCAGAACACGTGTAGGGCTGAATTTCAAGCAAATTCTTAAATCAATGTAAATGCTTAAAATACATGAGGAGTTTTCCAACACATCACACTTCTTTTGTGTGATCTTAGCTGTGAGATTTGAAAAGCATCAATCTATCTAGGCCAAATATCCCCTCCCTCTTAGCAATCTGCCACTTTACATTTCCACCTGGCCTGGAATTCTCCCCGTAAGTCACCCTTTGGCTTAAACGACCTGGAAAGAACACAGTGCCTGTGGAGGGTCTCCATTCACTCATCAGTAGGTTTTTCTCTTTTGCCAAAGTGTACCCACAGTGAGTGGATGTCATTGACCTTTTGGAAGATTAGCACGCAGGATTCTGTATGTGAACATCAGGACATGTGGGCAGCCTGAAGTTGTACGGTTAGGAAATAGGGTACAGGAAGCCAGTGAGGATAAGTAAGCTCATTTGTAAAAGGTTTGGGATTTGTCATCAGAGCAAAGCTGCAGGAGGTTTGCTCCACCTCTTTGCCTAGAAGCACCTGTGTTAGAACATCACTTCATCACTATGTTATTTGATATGTATCAGCTAATCTTTCTTAACATGGTTGTTTTGCTTGACCTTGTGTGTCTTTTCTTAATCAACAGTGCAATTTCCATTTCGCTGCCTGATTTAGGTAAGTGATACTTATTGTTGACCAAAAGTGATCAGCAATGATATGTTCAAGAGCAGGGAAAAAGTGGTAATCCTTCCTGCATGTTAACATTTACTGACAAGTGGATCCATCAAAAGCAAAGATGATAGTGTACACAGCAGGAGTTCTTACTTAGGTGAAGATGACGAACAGTTCTGAAGTAGCTGCAACATATTAAGCCATTGGGGCAGATGTCTTCCTCTTAAAATCCCAGATAAATGGATTTATCCCTTTATAGGGAGGGCCTAGGACCCATACTCATTCATGATATTGACTAGGAATTTGTATCCAAATCTCTCTGACCACAAAACTCATGCATTTTTACACTGTACCTCTTACCATTTTTAAATTTTGATGGCAAGATCACCTTTTTTAAAACATAAGTTGAATATGATCATATTAGAGACTACACACTAATTAACTCAATGATAGGTCATCAGAATATTATTTGCTTTGCCATTAAGATAGTAATGCACAAGTTGGCACAGTGCTTGACACATGGTATGCTTCTAACACATGTTCAGAATGTTGAATTTGTCAGAAAATAGGGCCATGTGGTTTCTTGCTCGTTTTTTGTTTGGATTCTGGCCATGTGATTGCTTTGGTTTCATTTTTCTAGACAATGCAAATGTATATTCACAATATGAATTTGTTGAACTAAATAACAAATGCAGATTATATATACAGTTGGTAACATGACAGGTCTCCCAACATATCCTTGGTCTGTGTTTAAAAAGAAATGACTTAGAATAAGAACACATTTTTCAGATTGAGAACTAAGCAAAAAAATCTGACATACTGCCACAAGTGGAAAAATCTATACTTCTGATTTCACATGATAGATGACAGTTAAAATGTAGGCACACTAAAAATAATTGTAAAAAATTACCTTCAGACTATGCATATGAAGTATATATAAAACCTTAATAAATTTTGAATTCAGACTTGGGTCCCATCCCTAAGATACCTCATTGTGTATAGACAAATATTTCAAACTCTAAAAGCATCTGGGATGTAAATACAGGCATTTCAGATAAATGAATACTGAACCTGTACCTTTTCCCAAATTTAAAGATGTTAAATAATGAATAATTATAATTGAATATTAATTAGGAATAATTATTTCAGAAGGTCTCAAATTTTCAAATGAAATGGAATATTCTGTAGAATTCTAAGGAATATGTATATCCTGAAATGAAAATATCTAATTATGATTGTTAATTAAGATTAAAATAAAAGAGCCGGTGCCAAAAGTTTGAAATAAAAGCTATGGAAGAAAAATCTACTAAATTGACTTTTCCTCAGGGAATTATGAAAAGTCTTGTTTCTGTTGTGGCAGTATAACATCTTTTGCCAGTTCTAGAAAGATGGGAGTCTATTCTAAAAATGATTCTTCCAGCATCATATTTTTCTGTCACTCTTCATGAAGTTAAATTGATGCGGCCGGCACCGCAGCTCAATAGGCTAATCCTCCACCTAGCGGCGCTGGCACACTGGGTTCTAGTCCCAGTCGGGGCGCTGGATTCTGTCCCGATTGCCTCTCTTCCAGGCCAGCTCTCTGCTGTGGCCAGGGAGTGCAGTGGAGGATGGCCCAAGTGCTTGGGCCCTGCACCCCATGGGAGACCAGGAGAAGCACCTGGCTCCTGCCTTTGGATCAGCACGGTGCGCTGACCGCAGCGCACCAGCCGTGGCGGCCGTTGGAGGGTGAACCAATGGCAAAGGAAGACCTTGCTCTCTGTCTCTCTCTCTCACTATCCACTCTGCCTGTCAAAAAAAAAAAAAAAGAAATTAAATTGATTCAAATAAAAATATGTCTCTGAGATACTAAAATACCTATTTTTAAATTTTTTTCTGTTGAATTTCTTCCCAAGGGTTGAATCTTTTGCTCTTTGATCTTTCTACCTTATCTATATTCTATGATCAGATTTTAATAAGCTTGAGGATGCACCTGGATAATTAAGTACTAATTTTGAAAGCCAGATATCATGTGAAACATACCTAATAAAGAATTATTTTGATCCTCTTGACCCTAGAACTTAGACCTCAGGAAGTTATTATCTATGATGACGTGGACGTGAATGCAAAAGAGACAAAGTAAGTCAATACACCCTGCTGGTCATCCCTGCTGACACCTGATCCTGGTGCTTTGTAGAATGTGGCCAGAGAACCATCTCTTCAGACCCCTGGGGAAGGAATGAAAGTGCACTTGAGCCATCACCCCCACTCAGAAGAGAAAATACAGTAATACAGATGGCCCAACAGTGGTAGGCAATTCCAAAGGCCCTGGCACCTGAGACTGTGTTTTTGTTCCCTGTCTTCGAATCTGGAGACTTGAAACTTATTTCAACACATTTATTTAATAAGGACTATTTGGCAGAACCTCTGTTTTCCAGGACTCAATAACTATAATCTATCAGAAAGAAACTATCCTTAAAGTCAATGGCCCCTCTGTAGCTACTTGTTTTCTGTCCTTTTCCTCTCAACCAAACGACTGGAGATAGAGGTCCCCTCTGCTCATCTTTAATTCATCTTTTCTTGCTCACGGCAATTGGGCTTCTGTTCCTAACACATCAGTGAACTTATTTTTGGTGAAGTCATTAAAACTCCTTTGTTAAATCCAAAGAATACTTTTAAGTCCACGTCTTACTTGGCTTCTCAATAAATCTTCAACTTTTGACTGTGCAGTCTTCTGAAAGAAACAATACTAACTTTAAGTTTCCATATTATTATTTCTCACTCGTCATCTTTGCTACTTTTCCTAAATATTGTGTGTCTTGAACAATGCGTGTTTTTCTGTTTTCCGGTAATAGTTTTTATATTTTTGCTTTATTCTTGTTGAATAATATCTTCCATACCCAGGGCTTCAACTATAATCATTATGATGATGATGCCAAAACTTTCTCTTTCAGGAAAACTCCATCTAAAACTCAGAGAATCTATGATAATGTACGACATCAACCCCTCCCCAGGTCTGATCTCTTTCTTCTCATCTCTCTGTTGATGATTATTTCCATGAACTTGGCTTCCCAAATCCAAACTCCAGGCCAGGCATTATCCTTGACTCCTTCTCCTGTGGCCTGTTCTCTTCTCCCCATAGCTCTGTTCCCCTAAGGCTCAAACCTTTCCCACTTCTCTGTCCCTACTTCACAGCCACAATTCAGGCCCTCATGTTCTCCAAAGGGACTTGTGCAACAGCTTCCTGTCTGGCCATGCTCTCTATATTTCAGTCTGTTCTCCAAACTTTCTAAAATGCAAATGTGATCGTGTCATAAAACCCACAACCTACTGACTAATAATCACTATTTTGTGGTTATCCATGGCTCCCAGAATGAAGTCCAAACTGCTTAGGAAGACGTAGCCTTCATTCATCCAGCCTCTGGCAGCCTGGTATCCTCCCCTGGGCTTCCCGTTCACCCACCCTTCCTACCATGTCCCATCCATGTTCCTTGAATCTGCCAAGCTGTCTAGCACTTCTAAACCTTCACATGTGCTGTAGTTTCATCAGTTTATTTGACAAACATTTACTATCTGAGTACATTGTACTAGCTGTTGGGTATAAAACAGTGAACCATAGAGACATAAGTTCTACTCCTTTCTGACTGGAGAGAAAGACCAATGAGTGAAGAAAAAATATGCATGTGTGACTACACACTAGAATTTGATTGCTTGAAACAGGCCATTTTGAGAGTGGATATAGCATATAGGATATGTATGCTGGGCAGGATTGATGTTCATTTGGAGCTGATAGCTCTTCTCTAAGGGGCACAGAATTAAAGAACAGAAGAATGGCACTCCCTGAAACATACTTTGCCATACCTTTTGCCTGGTTAATTAATTATTTTATCCCTCATTATTTAAGACTGAGTTGAGATTTTACTTTCTCCAGGAATCCCTTTCTGACCTTATCTATTTGGGTCAGGTACCCCTTTTTTATAAAAGCATTTTTATGATAACTGTGATAGTGTGTTTTCTGGACTGTCTTCTCTAGACCTGGAACTCCCTGAGGTAGGAACTGTGGCTTCCAGATCTGTATCATGTGATCTGATACCAAAACTTAGTTTGTGAAATGAGTCAACAAAGAAGGACTTCCTTTAAGAAGTACAAAATAATGTACAAGCTCAGAGAAAGTAGCCACTGTTATTGCTAGAAGATCAAAAAAGTGTCTGCTCTACAGGCAGCATAGGTAACATTTTGACCCGTAGATACTGGGAGCGAGAGGAGACCTGGGGAGGGATGGAGTAGGGAATGCAGGGAAAACGTGTGCTTTGGAAGTTCTGTTGGATCATAAACCATGTGATCAGAAAACGGTGTTCTAAGTGGGAAATGTGATTTGGAATGTGGTGGAGAAGAGCCCTAGACTATCATGTTAGGATGAAAAATGCATTCACTTTAAAAATGAATTATAAAAAGCAAAAGAAAATACATATAGGTGTAAGTTGTAATACATGGTAAAACAAATTGCCCTGGACCCATCACTCAGGGAACTAGAACACAACCAATAGTTTGGCTTCCTTACCTGATGCTCATGCCCTAGTCTATCTTATTGCCTTTCCTCCAAGGTAATCACCCTCCTAAATGTGATTTCCTTAAATAAAAGATTTACTTACTTATTTGTTTGTATGAAAGGCTGTGTTAGAGAGAGGGCGAGGGTGGGGGCGGGGGTGGGGGCGAGGGCCAGGGCGAGGGCAGAGATTGATCTTCCATCAGCTGGTTCACGCCCCAAATGGCCACAACAGCTGGGGCTGGGACAGGCTAAAGCCAAGAGCTTCATTCTGGTCTCTCATGTGTGTGGCGGGGGACCAAGTACTTATATCATTTTCTGCTGCTTTCCCAGGTACATTAGCAGGGAGCTGGATTGGAAGTAGAGCAGTCAGGACTCAAACTGGTGTTTATATGGGATGCTGGCATTGTAGGCAAAAGCTTCATCTGTTGTACCACAATGCCAGTCCTGATTTCATTTCCTTTTCAAAAAAAAATATTTTATTGGGGCTGCACTATGGCACAGCAGGTTAAGCCATAGCCTGCAGCATGGGCATTCCATATGGGTGCCTATTTGAGTTTCAGCTGCTCCATTTGTGATCCACCTCCATACTAATGTGCCTGGGAAAGCAGCAGAAGATGCCCCAAGTCTTTGGGTCACTGCACCCATGTGGGAGACACAGAAGAACCTCTGGCATCAAGCTTTGGCCTGGCCCAGCTGCAGTCATTGCGGCCACTTGGGGAGTGCCAATGGAAGATCTCTATCTTTACTTCTCTCTCTCTCTGTAACTCTGCCTTTCAGATAAATAAATAATTAAACCTTTTAAAAATATGTTATCAAACACAATGATAAAAATATTATTTCATTTGGTATTTGAATATTATTAAAATGTTATGCTGTACGTGGAATTCTGCATTTTTTACTCAAGTAAAGTTCATCCTTTTGCCATTGTGATATATTCATTTGTACTATTCTATAATATTCCATTGTATGTTTATACAGCAATTCACTTACCCATTGCCTTGTTGCTAACTAGGATAGTTCCCAATTTTTTGTATTTATGATCAATACTGCCACAGATATTAATGTGTCCTGTGAGTGTATGCAAACATTTTTCCAGGAGACATAGGAGAAAGAAATGCAAACTATACAGGGAATATGAACTCATAAGAAAATGCCAGCTTGCTTTCCAAAGTGGTCATATTCATTTACCTCTCATGTATATAAAGATTTCTACTGATCTTCTCACTAACATTTAGAACAGAGAAATTTCTTACATTCTGCCAAATTAGTGGGTATAAAATACTCTCACATTGTGGTGTGAATTTGCATTATCCTCATAACTAACAAAGTTCAACCCCTTTTAACACATGTATTCACCATCTACATCTTTCCTTCTAGAGAAAGTCTGCTCTTATTTTTTGTTTGCTTTTTAATTGGGTTGCTGGTCAATTTCCTATTTACTTGTAGTTTTTGTGTTGTTGTTCATTCTGGATACTACTCTTTCTTAGTTGTATGTACAATAGTCCCCTCTTATCCATAGCTTTACTTTCCATGGTTTCAGTCACCCATAGTCAACCAAGGTCTAAAATTTTTAAATGAAAATTATAGATGTAAATAATTCATTTCAAATGACGTTCTGCCATGATGAAATCCTGAGCTGTCCTGACCTGTGCATGAATCATCACTCTATCTAGCACATCCACGCTGCATATTCTACCCACTCATTACTGACTTGTACCTGTCCTTGTTGTCCAGTGGACTGTTACAGTGTATGTGTTCAACTTATCCCTTTTTCACATGATACTGGCTCTACAGTGCAAGTAGTGGGACGGGCAATTTGGATATGCCAAAGAGAAGCTATAAAGTGCTTCATTTCAGTGAAAAGATGGAACTTCTTCATTCAAAAAGAAAAAAAAAATCATATGCTGAGGTTGATTAAATCTACAGAAAGAACAAATCTACCTGAAAATTGTGAAGAAGGAAAAGGAAATTCATGTTGATTTTGCTGTCATACCTCAAACTGCAAAAAATTATAGCCACAATGCATAAGTGCTCAGAGGGAAAAGGTAGTAAGTATAGGGTTTGGTGCCTTCTGTGTGTCAGGCTTCCAGTGAGGGTCCTGAAATATACCCAGCATGGATAAGGGGGACTATTGTATTGTGAATACCAACTTCCTCTTTGCGGCTTGCCTTGCCTTCCTAGTCTTTGAAGAATAGAACTTTGTTTTACTGTATTTGAATTTGACAACTTACCCTCTGACTGTTTCTCTTTATATGTTTTAAAGAAATTTGTCTCTATCCCAAGATGATGATATAATATTATCTCATATTTTCTTCTAATAATTTTGAAGCTTTGCCTTTTATACTTAATCCTAGATCTATCTGGGGACTGATTTTTATATTGATAGAGAAGTAGAGATTCAGTTAAATTTTCTCCCATATAGATAAATGTCCTTGCCTGATTTATTGACTAGAACCTTACTGTTCCTATTGATCTGCAATGCCATTTTTGTCATGTCAAGTTTTCGTACATCTGAAGGTCTAATTCTAGGCACTCTGTTCTATTCCAGCAGCTGTTTCTGCCTTAACTTCTACCTTATGGTCTAAGAAAG